ATCTGGTTTTAACAGAGGAGAGAAAAGCATCTATTTATCCCCTTACGACCACTGGAAGTTGCACCTGAGCAGAAAATGCGAGCTATAATAAGATGCACTTCAGTTGTAAAGACCTGTAGAAGCAGATGTTAATTTATATATGAAGACATGAACTCTGAATTATTTGCTGCAGCTTTACTAAGCGCCAGAAAGGAACATAGTTTTCCTATAAAAAACGTTTATGAAAACACCAGCTGTTCTGTCTTCTACCAGAGAGAAAGTCAAATAAAAGATTCAATTAGAAGCATGTCTGTTCATGCAGGGGAAATCAAAAAATTACTGAAAGGCTGGATGATGCATCTTAATTATTGGCGCTGTTTTGAACAAAAAGGCACAGGAAAAGAAAGACTTAATGTCATGATATCCCTGACTTTCTAATAATTTGCAGCGGAGGATTATCCATTTTTCAAAGTAACGGAGAAGCTGATTGGTGCTTGCTGTTGGCTTATGTTAACACACTCTGGGCTACTGTCCAAACAGGCCACAATCTTTTCAGCTCCACAGAAATTAAACTCATTTTCACTTTAATCCACAGTGACCTTTGTGCTTGTACTGAACTCCAGTATTATCACAAGTTAGATTAAGTCCTTTCTGGAAAGAAGTCATTGAAATCTTGGCTGGTAAAAACAGTTTTGCTTGGTAAAACTTTTCTGTATCTCCATGACTATGTCTGCTGTGACACAGATAGGTGTTATCTCCAGAAATATATAGAGAAAACTGAGGTCTTACACTGATCGGCTTCATAATTGTGGTCAGAATTAAAGTTTGTCAATGGAAGAGTCAGATTCAACCAGAATATAAAGAATGGGATGAATGGATGACAGGTGAATCCTGGGCAGATCATTCATTGCTTCATTATGAATCCCTCCACTTCAGCAATCCACAACATGTAATTGCACCTGCTGCTTTCACAACCCTGAGACAACTCTCCTTAAACAGGTGTGCATACTCAAAAACTTCACTACTTGAAAAATCAAACTTTCTGCTAAATAAACTTTCAAGCACCATTGTGTATACCAAGTATCTGGAAAAATAGTGTGTATCTAGGAAAGCTGAAATATTCCCAGTTTGCAGTTTGTTGGAATGCCAAGGCTTGCAT